GGGGGGGGGGGGGCTCTGCTCACTGGAAGGGACTAGGAAGTGTCTGCCACTTCTCTCCCTTCAAAGCTTCCACTCTTTAAAGAAATTTTTGCTTGTTTACCCAGGACATGTTCTTGTGTGGTTTTTTTGTGTTTTTATTTTTACACACAGCCTGCTGCTGCTGCTGTCTGATCTTGGTGTGTGGAGTTAGTTCCATGACTTGTCCGCCCTCCCTCCCCCATCTAGCCCAGACATGCACCCCACGGAGGGAAGCTTACCGCCAGCATTCGTCTGGGCTCCCGGTATCGGATGTGGATGGTGGAGCCATCCTGCTTGACCAGGAGCATGGGGTAGAGGCGTGCATAGGCCTGTCTGTGCACACGAGTGAGCGAGGCTCTGCTGCTATCAGCCCGATGGGAGGACATGTGCAAACAGCGGCCCACGGAGGCATCCCCCATCACCACATGCTGCCGCAGCAGGCTGCACACACAACATGCTGGTCATCTGGTTAGCCCAGATCAGCCAGCTCCTTTGGGTGCCCACAGCGATCCCCTAGGTTTGAGATGTGGTCAGAGCAGCTCCTACCCCAAGTCTGGGAAGAGGCACAAGAGGCTTCCAGACTGCTGAGGACAGGAGACTTAGGATAGCATTCTCTAGATGTCTGGAGCCCTGCACATAAGCATGGAGCAGGAAGCTGCCTTTTAGGGGAACAGGGACCTGGTACTGTGAACTGAATGTTTTGTATCCCCAAATTCACGTATTGAAGTTCTAACCCCAGATAAGAGGGCATCAAGAGCAGGGCCTTTGGGGGGTGATTAGGGTTAGATGAGATCATGAGGGTAGGGCCCTTACAGTGGGAATGGTGCCCTTATAAGAAAGGATGGGAACTGGCTCCCTCTCTCTGTCCTGTGAAGACACAGAGGAGGTGACCCTCTGAACTAGGAAGAGAAACATCTCCAGAACTGTGGGAAATAAGCTGCCTGGTCTGTGGTGGTCTGTTGGGGCAGCCTGAGCACACCAAGACCTGTGGAACCCACTAGCTTCTGAACGTGGAAGACATTCAAAACCTCCCACACAGGGAAGAGCACATTCTCCGAGGCAAGGACCTGCCCTGCCTGGCTCTCACTACTTTGGGCCTTGCCTTGTGACACCCTAAGTCCCCTTCAGCCTGGCTTTCATGCAAATTTAGATTGAGACCTACCCCCTGCACTTCCCAGCTGACACCCAGGACTGAGGGCCCATCTCCTCTGCTAGACTCTGATGGCCTGGGGCCAAGAACCACAGCTTATTGACTGTTTAGTCCTAGACCACCAGCTGAGCACTCAGTAAATTTTGGCCAAATGAATCTAGTCCCTGCCTTCAGAAATGTAAGACAGGAGAAAGGAGATGTGGGGGAGCTCCAGCACCAGAAGAGCCTGCAATCAGGCAGGGCCTGTGCCTAGCAGTGTCTGTGAGCCCAGGGCACAGCCCATCTTGAGAACCTGAGATCACTGGGTTGGGGAGGCTTCTGGAAGGGGATGGAGCCAACCCTTGAGAATGTTTGTGTTCTCCCACTATAGTATCAGTTCCCATATGAAACCTTCCCAGGATGAGGGCCGTCTAGGGAATGCTGCAGCCAGAGTCTCTACCCCATCTTCACACTGACTCAGACGTCAAGTGCCACATCCCTCTCCCCAGATTCCAGAGAAACAAGAAACCTGCCCTCATTTCCTCCTCTGGCAACACTAACCACACCATGCTTCCAATTTTGGGGAGGCAGTGGGGCAAGGGGAACAGCAGGAAGGCCATGGCATTCTCCAAAGACCTCAGAGCAGGGCTAGGTTGCAGGCTCTGAATAGGAAAGTGACTGCCACCACTGTCTGGTGCTAAGTAGTTGCAAGCTGCTTCCTATTCCTCCCCCAACACCCTGTCAGGGCATCTGTCCATGTGTACTTGTGTGTGTTCTCCAGATAAACACACTGACTTGGGAGGCTTCCCTAAGGCAGGACAGCCTGAGGCTGCAGAGTTTACATTCATTTGGGTGGCCCCATGACAGCAAACCTAAGGAGCCTGTTTGTGCTTACCCAATCATCCTGCCCACAACTGCCATTCCTCCTGAGCGCCACTGTAACACGTGGAGGCCCAAGGCCAGTCACTGGCCCAGTTGTGACCTGCTGAGCAAGAAAAGTCTTTTTAACAGGCAGGCTTTTCCACATAATTGATCCTTGCCAAATCCCAGCCAGGACAGAAAGCCACAGACCTAATCACATCTACAAACAGGTGTGTTATGCCCAGGTCACTGCCAGTCTCTTCCAGTCACCTCTCAAGCTCTCGCCCTGACCTGGCATTAGAATCACCCGTGGAAGGTTTGTGAACAACAGATACCCAGATCCTACTCCCAAAGATCCTGACTCGGTAAGTCTGGGCAGGGCCTGGGTCCATTCTGCTGAGTTACAGAGTCAGGAAGCTGCTTTGAGCATGGAGTACAACGGAAACTTAGGTTGGTTCATACCTTGTTTCCAAGGTAATTTAATTCTCACAAAATCCAGCGAGGTAAGGGCCCCTGTGGCACATGGAGGGAGCCGAAGCCCAGGGTCACTCTTACTAGGCCCTAACTCCCAGGGTAGCGTCTGTGCCTGTGCTGAGGTTTCCGCGGCAACAAACCAGAAGTTTCAAAACCAAATGCCTGAGGTCTCGGCATTCAGCCTCCATGAAACGAGTCCTCCAGGCCGAGAGGCGCAGGTTTGTTTCGCTGTTCCCTGTCAGGGCAGGGCAACCGCAGGCCTCCCTCCGCCTTAGCGGCGGGAGAGGGAAAAGCTATAAGCTTCCCAACCGGATGCCCGCGGGGCCCGAACCTCCCTCGGGAAAGCCCTCCCTGCCCGCACGACGCGGCACCAACCTGCCTCCCTCACTGACCTCTGGAGCGGTCTCAAGGACCAGCGGCCTGTAGCCACTGGCCAGGCGGGAGAGGGAGTGGCCGGTGCCGCACACGCCGTTCTTTCCGAGCCAACGCGGGGCCCTCCGGCGGCGCAGCCGCAGGTCATCCGAGTGTTCCGTCGCGCCGCGCTTACGTAGAGCCCTTCAGGGTGGGGCGGGCACGGCGCGGCGCTGACGTAGGGCGGCGAGCGGAAGTGGGCCGGCACGGCGCTGTGGCGTACGTCTCCGAGGGCGGCGGCCGTGGCCCCTCATGCTGCGGCGCCCTCTGGCCAGGCTGGCGGCAGCGGCCCTGGGCCGGGCCCCCTCAGACGGTGAGTGGCGTGTGGGCAAGCACAGGTTTCAGAGGGTCTTCCTGGGGGCCGTCGCGGTCCCCACGTGTTTGAGCCGCTCGCGTTCAGCTGTCTCCCCACACCCAGGACGTAGCTTCCCGCGTTCCTCGGTGCATCAAGGGGCCTTGTCTGGTAGCCACCGGAACTGCCCCCTACTGCCCTCGGTGGCTTCCAGACCACTTACGCTGGCTTGTCGCTTGTAGCGAGCGAGCGAAGCAGGGGACACGAGGACTGGGTAGTGCGGTTTTTCATGGAGGTGAATTGACTTCTTTTAAGGGGTCGCCTTGCTTTTTGAAGTTGTGTCCTGTGTGTTTGCGTGTCTGGGTGTTAAAGTTGCTTTTGGTGGCCATTTTTCTTAGGCATATTAAAAGCTGGTTCCTATGTGCCAGTTCTCAAAACGTGGGAGGAAATTATCCTGGCACGGAAAGCTCCAGACTACTTGTAAAACCCCTGCAGCCCGAGGACTTCATTCTGGATGCCATTGTGGACCCGGAAGGATGCGGAAGGGCAGAGAGGGGAAGCAGTCTGACACTCCTCCCCAAGGTGGGCCACACAACAGAGCCGAAAACCCTGGGAGATCAAAGGCCGTTAGTGGCCACCTGAGGAGCCTGGTATGGCAGAGTCCCCACAGTCGCTACCAGCCTTCGGGGCCACCAGGACTGCCGGTTCCTGGTCTCCTCCAGGGCCCATACTTCTCTCAGTCCCAGAGACCTCAAGTCTAGATTACTGGAGCTGCCCATTGCTGCTCTTAGACATTCTTTTGGGAACAGAGGGAATGAGCCTAGTTCATTCAGGTGCTGGTTTTGGGAGGAGCAGTGAGGGGTGTCACCTCACCTGTTATTACTGTTGTCTTTCACTGGGGTAGAGAAAAGCTGTAAGCTGAGATGACCACTGGCTAGTGTGGGGTGGGGCCTACAGGGACAGCAAGAGGGGAATCTGGACTTGCCCCTCGTGGTCAGCCTCTTGTGAATCCCCTAAGCAGCATGCCTGTCCAAATGTGGGCTTTTATGGACTTTTCTGTTACTCTTAGACCTTCCAGACCATGACTTGCTGTGAGGAATGTAGGAAAACCTTCCCCTTAACTCCCAGGAGGGATCTGGGACACGTGGGGTTTCCTGTCTTACCACAAACAAGCTTAATTTTCTGCCAGGTGAGCTTCCACTCTATCCCTGTTTGCAGAATGCCACACAACTGCCTGCAACACCAAGCTCACTTATGCCCAGGTCAGGGCCACACCTATGACAGGTGCAGAGTGCTTGGACTTTGTTTAGATTCTGGGTTCATATAGACGTGGCCCTTGATCTTTGACTAGGGCGGGTGATATCAGTAATTTTCTCGAGTAGCAGATTTCAGGAGTTATAGCAATACAATCACTACTTTTCTATTCAGCCGTACCAAAAAAATTTTTTCTTTACACCTAAACTGTAAATTTCAGTCTTTTGCAGCATGTTCATCATAGGTGGAAAAACATGTTCAGTCGATCTGAGGAAGAGCAGAAATAAAGGGGGTATTGTGATGTGGTTTCGGGTGGAAAGAGGTGACTCCAACCCACTAGCAGTGAAAGTCGGTAATGAGGGTGAGCAACTGGGAGCTCCAAAATGGGCACAGGTACTTCTGTGGACAGGAGCTGTCCAAGTCCCTGCTACCTCAGTGGACTGGGCCTCAGTCTCCCCTGGTCCCTGCTGACTGCATGTGCCACCCCTCAGTCTTCCCTGGTCCTGCCTTCCCTGGTCCCAGCTGATCCTGCATTTGAGGGTCTCAGTTTCCTCTCTCTGAGAGCAAGGCTGATTCCTTTTAGGGCCTGTGCCCCTCCTGCTTCGTAGCTTGCTTGCCTGGGACCCTTCCCTCTCCTCTTGTGCTTCCTCTGCCCTCTGCCTGTGATGCAGAATTGGGATTTGGTACAGGACTGAATCCTGGTCCTTCTTTGTGGAAAGAGACCCAGACAGGCCCAAGTCCTGCACAGATGGTGTGGCTCTTGCCCATGCTTTTGAGGGGCCAGCTTTCTCTCATGGGAGGAATAGTCCCTGCCCTACTGTGGGGAGAAGTGAGAAGGAAATGGCTGGCTGCTTTGTGGCTGTCCCAGTTCAAGCCAGGTTCTCAAAGGCTGACTGGTTTTTCAAGGCTACTGGGCCAGGATATGTCGCACACACAGAGCCCTGCCCCACAGGGCTTCTTTGGGGGCTGAGACATGACCTGCTGTCCTGAGCCAGATTCCTTCCCATCTTGTGGCTTGTAGCTTACAAGAGGACTGGCAGGACTTGACCTTCCCTTTCTGTGTTCTCAGAGGTCATGCCTTGTCTTGGATGTCTTGTAGAGTAGAGGGAGGGAGGGAGGGAAGGAGGGAAGGAGGGAAGGAAGGAAGGAAGGAAGGTGATGACAGTGCCATGCTCTTGGGACAGAGCAGGATGAAAGTGGAAGCTGGAAAGGGGAGGTTCCACCTCATGCTTCTGGAAGAAGGCTGCCTGGCTGCATTGGGTGCTTCTTGGGCAGGGTTCCATCGGAGAGCATTCCGGAATGCATGGGCTTACATCCCGGGGGGGGGTTTTTCAGTCCTGTGAGCTTTGCCATTTCTTTCCAGTCTGCTAGGGTTTGGGATTGTGGGATAGTCAAGGAGTGGAAAACCCAGAACACCTCCAGCTAGAGGGCTCTGTCTTCCCAAGAGATGACTCCTCTGATTTGCACATTTCAGTCAGTTGGTTCTGCAGGCACTGGGGCCAAAGTCAGTCTCTGTGACTATTGAGGCCTCAAGGCCAAAGCCCCATCCCATGCTGGGTGTTCTGTGGAAGGTGGCTTTACTGGACAGAGCCCTGTCTCCAGCTGCTCTCCAGGCACTTGTGCAGGGCCAGGCCATCCCTTTGTAGTGTGTGTGAGCCAGCCGTTGTGCTCTGAGAGCCAACCTCCAGGTGGGACTCAGCTCTGTAAGCCCGACAGGGTAATATTCAGCACATATGCCCTTAGCCAGGCTGAACAGGCTGGACCCTGCCACTGTGAGACTGCAAAGTGGGGCAGATGATGGCTTCACTGGAGTGCCTGGGGCTGAGGGTTGTGATTCAGAGCCAGGCAGAGAGTGAGCTTTGCAGCTGCCAGCCAATCCTGTGTGGATGCACCCCCGGCTCACCGCTGGCCCAGTGCAGGCAGGTAGTGGGGCCTGGGGGTAGGGCTCCCCCCAGGTTGAGGGTGCTGCTCGGTGAGACAGGCTCCCCTGCCCAATGTCCCACCACAGGATGGAGGGCGCAGAATAGAAACCTGCTTGTGAGGTGACAAGCAGGACCTGTGCCACATGCCCTGTGAGGGTGTCAGCACTGGGACTTGATATATGTGGTGTTTAGTCCTAACTGAAGACTAGTCCCATGCAGGTTTGCAGTCTCCAGGTGTCAGAGCTCATGGCCAGGAGGTGTGGCCTGACTGCAGGCATGGAGAATTGCAGGAACTGCTGGGGAAACATGTTGGAGAAGGAGCCCTGGGTCCTGCTGACCAGGTTACAGTTGGGAGCTGGGGGGTGCCCACAGGGTTGTGGAGGTGCGAGGGTAGGGAGCCCACCCATGGCGGGCACACAGCAGAGAGCAGAGTGTCCCTTAGGGGCTTACGTGCAAGCAGGCAGGATGGGCCGCACTCCCTTCTTTATACTCTCAGCCCCCTGGAAGGCGCCTCCCAAGTCCCTAACAGGAAGGTAGGGAAGCCTTTGGGTCCTCCCCTCCCTGGAGGTAGACTCCCTAAGTCGAGTGCCTACTGGGTTGAGTGCCCACTGGTTTGAGGGCTTGCTCCCACGATCAAGGCTTGGGCAGGCCTCCTGGTCATCGCCATGGCCACCACCGTGTGTCCGCTTGGGGCTGCTCCTGCCCTGGAAGAACAAATGTTCCTATAGCACCAAACACACCATCAGGTCCAGGGGTTCTAGGCCACTGGATAACCACATTTGCTCAGCCAGAGGGACAGACACCCAGCCTCTCTTCTGCCCTGCTGGGTCTCTCCCTCCACTTACTTCCCCAGTCACCCAGTGCCTAGAAAGTCAGGACAGACTCAGGGGAGTAGGCTGGGCTGCCCATAGGACATCCTTTCTGCAAAGGACAGAGCTTTGTGAGGGGTGCCAGTGAGGGAGAGATATCTTGTGCACCAGGCCTCAGGGGAGAGACAGGGCTACACTCTGCTGGTGGGCAGTAGCCATGGTCTTAGAGTCAGACGCAGATGCATGCAGATGTATGTGTGGAATGCAGGTGTGTATGTGGCATGTGTATTTGGGTAAGAAAGCTGGGATGCCAGAAAGGAGCTGGAATTTCACTGGGATTATCTCTAGGTAGAAGCAAGGTGCTTTTTGTAATGGGAAACTCGCAAAAGGCCAAGGAACTAAGAGTCACTTGGAGATGACACTCAGAGTGTTGATGGGTTCCTCTGGGTCCCTTCCTCCTGTGTCTGTTTCCCACTTTCCCCAGGGAGCATGTGTGTGGTGTGATAGCCCCAGAATAGCAGTGCTTTAGCCAGATTACCCAGTTGGCCTACATTGTGGATTAGGAAAGCAGTGCTTGATGGGGGTCTTGCTGGAGACGGGCGACAGGGCATCCCTGAGCCAAGTGGCCCATCCCTCCTGGGCCTAATTTCCTGTCTGCTGGCCACTGACTGCATTTTGGGGGCCTCCACACCTTACCAGGGGGTTCCAGACAGCCTGCAGGGCCAGGCCTGCGCAGGGAACTGCTCCAGCTCCCACACACCCATCTGGTTTCCCTCTGAGGCAGGGCACACTTACACCTGGCCTTCTGACATCAAGCTCCCGTGGCTGGGTGGTAGGCCACTACTGAAGGGCCAGGAGCAGCCTCCTCTTCCCCAGGGCACCTAATGGGCAGGGCCGATTGCCCTGGGAGGAGTTTAAGAGGTCAGATAGGCTGGGATTACTCACCTCTCCCAGCTCATCGTGAGCAGCCTGGGCTTACAGAGGTGGCCTAGCCCCACCCAGGAGGTAGGTCCTGTTCTGGGGAGGGGGCTTGAGGTGTGAGGCGGGCACAGAGCTGGGTTGATACCTCCCCCAATCCCCTCTTCACCCGCTCTCACCTGTTGCAGGTGTCTTAGCCTTGTGCTGTGGGCTGGGAGGGGACCACTGCTGCCCTCTTGCTGGCTTCCCAGCAAGAATCAGAGAGGAGGGGAGGTCAGGAAGCTGTGGTCCCTCTGGGTCGGCCCCTCACTTCCTGATGGAAGTTCCCAGAACAGGATTTGGGTTCCACTGAGCTTAACCTCGGCCACCTCTATCTAGGGCATGGTGCCAGGAGATGCATGTGTGGGCACCCAGGTGTGCCCTTCCCAGGAGCAGAGGTCCAGGCTCCACAGGTGGGGTAAGAGTGCACCCAGCTGGGGAGGCCATGTGTTTGTGGTACCAGGTGGCCCACCCATCAGGGAGGTGCAGCTAAGGTTTGAGTATGGCCCTTAGCGCTGTCTGATTCCTAGGGAGAGTTGGAGGGGTTGCAGTTGCAGCCACCCCACTCAGGCCTGCTGACATCTCCCACTTGCCCACAGGGATGTCAGGACCAAGGCCTGTCGTCCTGAGTGGACCTTCTGGGGCTGGAAAGAGCACTCTACTCAAGAGACTTCTACAGGAGCACGGCAGCATCTTCGGGTTCAGCGTGTCCCGTGAGGTCCCACGGGTTTGGGGGCCCTGCTGACCCCCCTGGAACCCCACATCCCCACATCTATAGGGACATGCCCACACTGCTAAGCCCCCCGCCCCCGGAACCCTCCCTCACGTACACGGGATGTGCCCGTACTGCTGACCTCCCTGAAGCCTCCCTGTGACAGGCTGAGGTGGGCCCTGTGGGAAGGCCCCAGGGATGGGATGTGTGGGCTCTGGGTGTTCCAGATGGGTCACAGGTGCTTCCTCCTAGACACGACGAGGGACCCGAGGCCAGGAGAAGAGAATGGCAAAGGTAAGCTGGCCCTGCCACTCAGTTCTCCAGTGCAGCTCTGGAGCTGCCCCCCACACACTTGTCAGGATGATGCATGAGGCCCCATTCTCCCCATGTGATGCGGGCCCTTCTCCAGGGTGAGTGGGTCGGCAGGCCTCGTTAGATAATAGGCATCAAATCTCATGCTGACACCACCTGTCCATGTGAAAGCCTGATGGAGGCTCTGATCCCAGGAGCAGGCAGCTGTGGGGCACCTCTGCCTGAATGAGCACTGCATTACACATGGCAGTATAGGTGGGGTCAGCCGTGCACACCATTTCGGGCTCTGACATCACAAGCATCTTTTGTAACCTTAGGGTGTTTGTACCTTCCTGAAGCAGAGCATTGAAGTCCCCCCAACCTCCCCCACTGAAGTTGGCAGTCACCAGCACCTCCCAACTCTACCCCCAGAAGCCAGCAGTCTCCAGGTCCCCAGCCTCTCCTGTGGAAGCTGGCATTCTCCCCGCCCCCTTCAGTGAGGACAGTATGAGATGTGTCTGTTCCCTCCTCAGACATCTCCCTAGTGGCTGGAACAGCTCTAGGTGTGGATGGATAGATGAGCAGACAAGCCCAGAACAGAAGCTGGTTTTGCCCCTGTGTGGTTGCATGGGCCATGGTGGTCTGGCTGTGGGCAGCTTCAACAGCTCCTGCTCTTTATAGATTACTACTTTGTGACCAGGGAGGTGATGCAGCGGGACATTGCTGCCGGGGACTTCATCGAGCACGCTGAGTTCTCGGGGAACCTGTATGGGACTAGGTGGGCCACACTCAGCACCCTCCCTCCAGATCTCCTGGGGACCTAGAGGGAGCAGCCCAGGCAAGGGGTTCTTTCTATGAGCTGTCAGGGTAAGGGACCCAGCCCTTCCAGGGGTTAATGGGGGAACAGTCTGGGCTCTCCAGGCTATCCACTCCTCACCACACCTGGCCAGGCTGCTGTGGGAAGAGGGGGCCAAGTGAGAGGCTGGTGTGCAGTGAAAACTCAGAGGATCTGAATCTCAGAGGTCTGTAGGCTGCACTTCAGTCCGTTCCCCTCCCCTTCAACCAGTAGGGCAGCCTGGGACAGTCCCCAGCCCAACAACAGCTGCCCACCTCCCACACACATCCAGAGCAGCATCATTGCACAGGCGGGCCCAGGCTTGCTGTGTGCAGCCTGTACCTAAGCCCCATGGGACGGATGTGCTCCGCCCCAGGTGCAGCTGGCAAGGGCAGTCAGCCTCTGAAGGGGGTCACTGGGGCTGCTGTTAGCCTTAGATGGTGGGCACCCAGGAGCCCTGAGCCCAGTGGTGACAGCCAGGGCCTTTCTGCCTTTCCCCACTGCGCCCCTCCCCCCTCCAAGCTTAGCAGATGGCCCAGCATGAAAGGGTTACTGAGGGAGTGCTTCCGGAAAGGGGGAGCAGACACTGGGGTCAGGGTGGGCCCCTGCTGGCTCCCTCTCTCCTACCAGGCCCAGAGCAGGGAATGGGGCTTCGAAGCAGGACCCCAGGGGATGGCAGTGGAGGTGGTGTGGGTGTTAGGACCCAAGGAGCCCTGGCTGAACGGCCCCTCCCCTCCTGCCTCCTTAGCAAAGCCGCTGTGCGTGTGGTGCAGGCCATGAACAGAATCTGCGTGCTGGATGTGGACCTCCAGGGTGTGCGCAACATTAAAAAGACTGACCTGAGGCCCATCTACATCTGTGTGCAGCCACCCTCTCTGGAAGTCCTGGTGGGGGCAGGGAGCCAGGCAGGGGAGGGGTGGAGGAGGGACTAGGGCTGCCCTGCAGGCTCTGACCCTCCTTAGGCACTTCAGGAGCAGAGGTTGCGGCAGCGGAACACGGAGACCGAGGAGAGCCTGGCCAAGCGGCTGGCTGCTGCCCAGGCAGACATGGAAAACAGTGAGTATGTGGGTGCGGCCATTGTCCCCCCACCCTCCCCCATAGCAGAAGACTCATCTGCCAGAGGTGGGAGGCAGGGTCCGGAGCTGTCACCCACAGCCCCCCTCCCTTCACCAAGCCTCTGCTGGCCCTGTG